TAGAAATGATAAAAGTAGAGATAATATAATTTCCGTGTGTTAATCATTAATAACATTGTATGTCTGTACAAATTGATGATAAAAATATACATACAACTAGCTTTCACGAATATTTTAAATGCTAAAGGGGCACTTACAAACAATGTGAAAATTATTATAAAGAGCAATATGTTTAATAGTAAATACAAGAAATGTTTCTTCTCTTAGTTACATCTTAGCAGGATACTTATTAATTTTCAAAATTTTCAAAATTGTTAAGTCAATTGTAATAAATAAGAATGTATGTTAAAAGAAAAAACTTTTCCTTAAAGCTTTTTGCAAAGATAGCCTCTTAGAAATAACTTTATGACAGGCAAAAGCAGGTTTATGATATCCTTTTTATTTTCCAAAAAACTGTAATTCTCCCTACCTACAAAGGCCAGTTTGCACACATTAGAATCTGAAAACAGAAACTAAGTTCAATTAGTTTTTGCATCTCCTTTCAGAAATACTAACTCTCAAATATACATATTTATTTGAAACATCTAAAAGCTGAATTTCAAGTTTCACTGTTAATGTACATGCCAAAAAACCATCTAAGTTAGGTCTGGAAGTCCTGAAAGCACAGGCGTATCCTAGTGCACTTCTACTGAAACTTCTCTGGGCAGAAAAATTTATTTTAAATGACTACATATATATTAGAAAATCCTCTCTATGTACCAATTATCTGTCTAAGGCTAGAGCTACAGCAATCAACAGTGTGGTTTCCAGTAGATAACAAGTGCTTATGAGATGCCCTTCCACAGAATGGGAAATGGGTATCTTCTGATTTAAGGGTGAGAGATACAGAAAACATACCCTGTTTTATGCATTTCTAAATTCAAAGTAAAATCCAATGAACTAAAAAGTAAAAAGACGAAAATAAAATCAACATTTCACAGATACTTTGCATATGTTTCTAACTGTACTTTATTTTGAAGTCAGTATTTTGAAGTAAACTGCTAATAGTCACAAAATCAGTCAAGAGAAGATACTTGATTGATTATTAAAGCCAGATTATCTCCACTATACTATACTACATTTTTCTGTCTCCTGATTTATGCTTCCACAGTAAATTATGTTTTGTTCGTAGAAAAAGGTCATAAAAAGAAAATATAGAAAGGAATCAATATTAAGTTCTATATAATTAAATAATTATCATTTCACTTTTTGTTTAAAAATCATACCAGTGTATTACCAAGTGTCTACTAAATAAATACTAGGTACTATGCACTCAGCAGTCCTATCAGTATTTATTAACGAAAAAGTGCTAATACATATATCCACACATACACCATACATCCACTTAATCGTATAAAGTTCACAGGAACTCATTAGATCTGAAACATGATGTTAGGGTATGGTAAAAAGAAAAAACCACAGCAGAATAAGATTATTACATCTCTACTCCTTAGGTAAAAATCAAAAGAAGAAGCACGGTAGAATACTAATATCTACTGCTTACCAGTTTTTCTCTGAATGTGTCTTTTCCCAGCTTCCCTGAAAGCAACCATGGCTCTGAAAAAAGCTCTGAGAACTGCCCACCGGAAAACAGCTACAGGATCAATTCCAATCATCCCAGAGATAAATGCACTCTTGCTACTTCTCAGAAGAGCTACAATGTCAGGGCGCATATGATCTGTATTTTTTTCCCGGAAATCCTACATGAAAAAAGTATCAGTGTTATTTCTGAAAAATTAAACCAAGAAGATAATGGGTGACATGTTTGAATAGAGGTTGAACAAGAACTGTAGGACTGATTTCTGTTCTAGGTAGCTAACCGGACCAGATTATCTTCTATCAAGTCCCATCCTACCCTAAAACTACTAAACCCTATACTACATTTAAATTAGAATGAATATTTCACAATTTTATTGCAGCTTGTTAAACAGAGAGCCTCTCTGAAGGCTCACATAAAATGACAAGAGAATTGAATAACAAAAAGGAGCCAGATACCAGAAAACAAGGAACAGCATTCTAAGTAAAGGGAACACCTACTATCTAGGTAGTAATGAGTTGGACAAGTTAGGAGAAAAGCAGTAAGACCAGGGCTGGAGCATTCTGGGCAAGGGTGAAGGTGGTGAAGATGAGGCAAATAAATAAGCTACATAAGCCCAAGTTAGGAGTTTGGGTTTTATTTGCCTGTAAAGGAAAACCACTGGAAGCGTAATGACGTGAGCTGACTAGTGTTTGCTAAACTGGCTATTTATCACTGGCTTCAGAGAGAACAAATTATACAAAGAATAGAAAAGGGAGACCAGTTCTTGCAGTATTCTAGACAAGAACTGACAGTGACTTGGACAATATTGGTGGAAATAATGGAAAGGGAAACAGTCATTGTATCTGAGATATGTTTTAGAGGTAAAGACAAAGGACTTGCTGCTGGATTAGGGCAAGGTGAGACAATGAGGAAATTAGGTTAACACCTGTATTTTGGGTTTGAGTAACTAGATAGATGGAGGTGTCATATACTAATATAGAAAAGACTAAAGAAAAGAGAAGGCTTGGGGATAGAAAATGGGGACCAAGAGATAAGTCTTGTCCAGTGAAGTTTGAGATGGTGAGGATAATGATAACAGCAAGTAACACTGAGAGGTTATTATATGTGTGGCATTTACATGCGTGGTCTTAGTTGAGCTCATTCATCCTCCTAATAACTCCTTAAAGTAGAAGATACTATTCCTACTTCATAGATAAGGAAACTGAGTCTCAGAGAGGTTAAATATCTTGACCCCTATCACATAGTCGTAGAAGAACAGAGGTTTAAACACAGACACTCATAACCACTATAATATGTCTGCATACAGACATCAAGTAGGCAAAT